ACTCTTACCACACCACGAACAAAGTCCCAAAGGGGTCATGCACTAAGTTACACTATGTTTAGATTCATTGTAAGCTTAAGGATAAGGATTTCCGGAACACAGCCATGGTCTGAGCCGGCGTGACGGAAGCGATGTTTGTAAGGGCCCAAGCAGCTTCAAACTGAAGATTTGAACAGTTTTGCTAACACTCCTGTTTTTATCAGTTCGTCAATTGGTGAATCAGGGTCACTGGATAGCAGTCTGCGAGCTGACTGTACAACGAGAAGTTGCACGGCAAGATCCTTATTGTAGCATTTGCAACAATCGCCTCGAGGTTCAACAGCATTGGTCTCTCTCCACCGTCGATATCGGAGTCAGCCAGGTCACCCGAAGCACTCGTTGCTTCTCCCAAGCCTGGAATATTCCGTTTCTTCCGACTTGTTTTCGATGCCTTCGCATTTCATCTACACTTTTCCAACATTCTTAAATGACATCAAACGGGCGTTCCTTTGGGCCATACATGGTCGACTAACGGAACTGTAAAAGCGAAACCCGCGGAAAAGCAATTTTATTGACCTAACTAGGTACCCATTCATGTAACTGAGACACAGCATGCGGTGGAAGGAACCTTTGTGTTGTGCTTAACCAAGTGTTGAAAACCGCTTATCTGTGTTTATAGATATAATCTGAGGTAGACAGACTAAGCCGGCCAACGGTTGCAGGTAGCAATCGTACGCTTATTTTGTTCGAACAAGGTAGTGCAAGCCGACTGAAATAGGGAAGATAAAAGGCGTTCCACCCGTCACAACTCAGTCTGGGTGTGCGGACACTGTCCGCGTTTGCACATCAAGGGTTATGTATCACTACATACCATTTCGGAAATGTACTCTATTCCATGGCTGTTTTGTCCCAATATATGCTACTGAGAAGAGCATTTCCTTGACTAAGATAAGAATAATCCGTAGTCTCAAATATACGTTGGTGGGATACCTGTTCCAAGGTGTTTTGATCGCAAAAGCTTCGGTATCCTGACAAAATGTAGCAGCAGTTTGACTATCTTTGTTAGGTAACATAGCTCTCAACATCATTTCTGGAAACTATAACTGAAGCTGGCACATTCCTTCGTTTAAAAGAAAGAACGTCAGCAAACTGAATAAACGTTACCTGACCCCCTTTTTGGATGAACATTTACTTATACGTTGTCACGTTTTCATGAAAATGTCTATCAGCAAATGCTGATGTATTTTGGGGTCTGACGTCAGTAATCTACTCGAAAAAGCAATCAACATATGACTGTGTACTGTGAGGTATAGATGAACTTGTGTCGGTATATCCCGTCTAACCGCAACTTAATCATACTGCTGCTAAGCCACTCATGACCTAACATCATAAACTTAATTTACTAATGAAAAACTGGCTGTTTCGAATTGCCATAGCATTCCGTGAAACGAACACTTTTGATGCAACGTCCTTAGAGTATTCCTCGGCTTTGCAGGTTGATTTCAATCAAAAGATGAAATCTTGACCAAGATCTGTGGGGAGTTTGCTTGAACTCGTTTTCGGAGCCAAAGAAGGGGAAATCCATGTTTGTTGTAAACCTGGGTAACAGAAAATTCACAGTCTTTGTTCCACTAATAAGGCGGCATGGTACTATTATATCGCCGTCAGTCAGACTAGCTAAATAAAAATTCCCTTTGTTGTATGGGGATCTGGGAATTTTTGAGGCGCTATATCCTGTCTAAGTGCTCTCATTGAAAGAGCCATCTGTCACGTGACCACGTGATGTGGATTCCCCGATTCTGAAATGAGTGGCACTACCGTCTGTCCAAGTGCCAGTGGTTTTCAGTTTTTAGCATGGACTGGCTTCAATTACAGAGCGAAAAACCCATTTGTATATAATTTTTGCCTTTATTGATTGCAAAACATGAAAGTACTTGGATGTTTACTTGGAAAGATTCCGTTCATCCAAAATCCCTTACAAGGGGAACTCTCGAACCAAATTGTCCAAAACCATTCTGCTGACCAAATAGCCCAATGATAATGTCAACAACTTCGGAACCTATGATGACCTCCACCTGAAACATTAAATGCAGAATCAGGACCTCCATGTTGGGTTGCACCAACCTATTTCAGATTGATAATGAGTTTAAAAATTCTAATTTGAAACTGATATCGAATACACCCATCCCCAGGCTGGTCCTTGTTCGGAATGCGTGGTACTTTAGAGTTTGGCTTCAGAACTTCTGAAATTCATCTTGCTCTTCATAGCTTGCGATGAAATCGAAACGAACCTCAGTCCAGTCACGGTAATGTATTGTGGAAGCCTGGGAGGATACTACCGCATTCTTCCTCTCGGGACATGACTAAGGTTCGCTAAAATTATGAATGAAGCTGCTGGTCGCCCATTTTCAGTAACTATATTTCTATGAAGTAGGAATAACCAACACTTCCATTGTGACTTCTTCCGCTGGTCGATTCGCTGCTATGAAACTATACTGAGTGCTTCTCACCTTCGCAGCCGGAATTCGTCAACCAGGAATTAAACAGACAAGTTAGACTGGGACCTAGTTCCCCATCCGCAGGAGACGGGTAGGGATGTGAATGTAATAGTACCAGTGAACGGGCCGAAGGTGTCCATATATCTAACTGTTAGAAACCCGTAATTACGGTCTGGTCATCTGTACCAGTGCTTGGCCCATTCCTGTTTTCCGGGTCTACCGGAAAGCAGTAAAAGGACAAAGCGAGACTTCTAATCGGCGATTTACTTAGTTTTATTTCCGCTATGTCTAGATCATGTGTTAAGGTAGCCTAAACACACACCGTCCATCAATGACCCCAAAATTCGGCGTGCGCGCGACCAAGTTATTTCAACGAGTGCAGACTAGGTTGTCTACTAAAATTTGGTTAGAGTTGGTGGTGGCGCTGCGGCTGGTGTTGTTGGTGGACCAATTAGTCTTGTCGTGATCCAGACACAATCACTTCAGTGCTAGATTTCTCCCGCTCCTGACCGCTAAACAAATGACATCGCATTTGGAAATGTCCATCAATTTCCGCTGTATTCACTAGAAATTTGTCTGGCCCCAGCCCGAATACGTTGCTCTAAACGTCAATGCTCAAGTGCTTTTTTCACCAGTCACATTACTTACTGTGCACCACGCATGAAGTTAGCGGAAGTTAGCCAGCTGTCGCACGATCGCTAAAATGGCTTTTCTCTTCTGCTTGTGTTGATTATTTTAGTAGAGATGTAACCAAATCAGACTTTGTGACTTTTACGAATTTATTGTCTCTTGTCCGCATGCACAAGGTGGTGTGGCCACTTTTCGACTTGGTGCAACAAAATTTTCAAAATCCGCACACTGAATAAAACAGTGCAAATTAGTTTTGTTCAGCAACGGTATATATATATTTCATGACAAGTATGATTATTTTTCTGGGAATCTGTTGGTAAGTGCTCGTTAACGTTGTATTAAGTGAAAAAACAACGGATAGTTTGACCAGGGTATCAGAACCAGTTTCCGGATCACGTAAACCCATACGTCCACCATGAGCCTGCCTTGATCTTTTTTAAACCAAGCGATAAACACTAGATATATAATTTCTACTCGTTCATATGTCTGACGATACCCAGATCTGAAATGGAGTTATTTTACTCCGGGAAAACATTCTGAAACGACCGACACCTCCAAAGCAACCTACCACCCAATGAACATTTAGTCTCCTGTGGAGGTTTGATAAAGTGCTCCTGAATTGTTCAAGACCAGCGCCAACTTATGCGTTGTCAGTTTTGCTCCCCAGTAGATGCCTTTAGTAAAAAATTTATCTTCGTTACTTCAGGCTTAAATACAACAGCTAAGACTGTTCATCGACCACATTGATATGTTCCAGTAGTCTAGACAGAGGAAGATTGCTACGCCTCAAAACTAACTCAAACGGTGAACAAAATGCAAACGAATCTTTTTAAGGCTACTGCACTAATCCGCGCGCGGATTGCCGTTTCTCTTCCTTACGGTTATCTGACAAATACCTCCTTCAGAGTCCTTCAGGTCCTTTCTTCGCTTGATTTTTCAACGTAAATAATCCAACTATATACCAATTGGTGTCAGCTGCCTTTCACACGAAATACATCCGCAGTTACTCAATGGAATTGTCAGCTGGACCTATTAGCGATTTTCACTGTCGATTTCCGGAATGTTAGAACGTTCCTTCTCTCTCAACTCCGGTGCTATACCTTAGAGCTTCTGTCGTCTAAAACCGCGGCATAACATATTCAAGTTGACGGCCAAATGTAAACTACTCTATCGGAATTGTATACCCAATAATTTGATTTCATGGGGCTCATAATGGTTTTGCTTCTCCGAGCCTTATCCATACGTGATAACCATAACTATATAGGTACGTTCAAACAAAGCACAAGTATTATTTACGGCTACCGAGATATAATTTACAGTCTTCTGTAGGAAGAGAGTTGGCACTGAAATTCGTCCATTGTCGCTTCTTGTTGAACGTTTTCAGCAGCATTTTCTGCAGCTCCTCGCATTCTCAATTCCTCCTCCGGTGGCCAACTTAGTACTGTTATTTCTTGGTGCTCATGATTTCGCCTTCCGTTGTAACCATTCGACGAGTTGACAAACGGATGGTTGTATCGGCCGCTTTTAGCCCCATTCTCTACAGGTTCTGTTTATCCCGTGTGCATCACTCAAATTTTCCTCTTGAGAGTTACAAATGGTATGCGATGCATCTTCAGAACCATATTGAAAACAGTCGAGATTGAATAAGACCTCCAGTAGCCTACTTTTAGTCAAAGAATGCCACCTCTGCTACACTAGTTTTCAAATGATCGATTCCCCCAAAATCGTGCTCTGAAGACGAAAATTTTGTGCCCTTTATCATTCAACAAACGGTCTAAATTCTTTACCTGTAGTGTATTGCGCTCAGGAAGGCAATAATGAGTGTATTCTTGTTATAGATTTTTAAATTTCCTCGTTCTCTGCAATTCGTCCCCCTCTTCATAGTTTGTTCAAATGCGACGCTTCCTTCGACTGGCTGCCGACGGCTCTGACAACCTTCGGTGGAGTAAAGTGGGTCTGGCAAAGGAAGTGCTGGCCGAACTACCCTCACAGGTAAACTTTTAGGATAGCATTGAGTTTTTGTGTTTTGTTAAGTAAACTTATTATTCCCCTGGGCAGATAATCCCTGATTGGACCAGACAGCCACCAAACCGTTTTGTTTACCGAACACGAGAATTAATTCCAGAGAGTTTGAAGGACAAGCTGTCACAAAAGAAACTAAAACTAGCCCTATCCTCTCCGTAGCGTATAGTGATGTTCGCCCTCGACTGCTGTTGAGTGACAACGGAGTAGTGACTGCATCAGTTGATCCAATGCAGACAACGAGGAGAGGAGATAAGCTTCAATTTCAATGATTTCTCATTAGTGCTGAATCAAGGGGAGTCACTGGAGCGTTTTGTACAACAATACAGTTAACTGATGGTCTCAAATTTCATCGAATTACCATGGTTTGGTTCTACAAACAGCTCAACTCATACATAAAACAACCACAATTTTGCTACTCTTCGAATTGCCAGTAGCTGAAATTTTAAGCCGTGCTATTGCGAGCCAACGTGTCAGTCAGCCGAAGATTCATCCCACCTACAGAGCAGTGTTGTTGGTTGTTTAGCTCGATTGTAATGTTCGATAGAGTTATATATTTCCTTTGAGGTATTTTCCACTGTAAAGAGATGCCTTGAGGTGGCGTGAACGCTTTTATGTGGAAAAGAGTCTCACTCAATGGTCACTGAAGGTGATTGCAAGAACCTCGGCAATTTTTTAACTCGTCTGTGTTATGACCGTTGGATATAGGATGTATCCTCACGCCCATGCAATAACTGTCGAGCTTCATCCTGTGACTTTCGCTGAACTGTATGTTCACCCATTCTTATGGTAAAGAATTTCCCTTGTATGAAGAAGGCGGCGCGAGGAGAAAAATTGATAGTTATGATAAAGACCGCGCGGTACGTGACAATGCGTGAGAAATTTCGACCATCAAGTTGGCTCTATCAAGTTGGCTCCATCAAATTGGCTCTAGCTACTACAGTAACTCAAGTTTCCCAATGTAAACAATCAATCATCCAACATACCCGAATGTCACTAAAATAGTTTGATTGTTTGGAAAACAGGAATTATTCTTCAAACAGGTTCTGATGCGATGGGCGCCACGGAATTTTACAGGTTTCCCTGAAAGACAGCCATTTAGCCGTGAGACTGTCTCCTAGGTGGTTGTTAGCTCCTAAGGATACTTGTGTGATTTTGAAACCTAATCGCCAAGAGATTGGTTTTTTGCTGTTTGAATTTTCCTACGATTATATTGGATATAATCGGATGTTTCTCACAACCTTCGAGACATTCTGCGGTATGCGCGAAAATTGCTAAATGACCATGTCTTGTTGATCTTTTAAAGATGGAACTCTAAACTTCACTACGAGGCGCTCGAGTTTATCGCATTTTCTTGAAGAACCTAAATCAGGGGAAAATGCCTGATGCATTGTCCCTCCGGGGTTCTTGGCGTTTTTAGTCATTACAGCCTGCAGTACCAGAGCCCATTTGAAGAAGTACTGAATACTGATGATGATAATGCATCATTCTACGCTTAACAGAAACTTTGTCACCTGATCGGGAAAGCCACACAGTACTAGACTGAATAAATACTGTCATAAGTGGTGGAATTCATCAGAAATGGTTTTCCACAAGCAGTCCATAGGTTACTGTGCTTCGTGTGTCACGCACACAAAGTTTATTAGTAGGCCAGCTGTCAAAAGAAGAGAAATGATTATCAGAGAACCCATGGATTTGTTCTGCTATCTTCATCTGATATAACCGATCTGAAACGCATGCAGTATCGTCTTGTCATGACCGTCAAGAATAAATGGAGAGAGAGATAGGAATTTCAGGCGGTCGATGGATATCAGTTGAACATTTCCAATGAAATGGGTAAAGAAATTTTATGCTACTGATTTCCAGTTCCCACTTGGAACGTGCTTCACGGTATCACTATCGGAGTGTGCTGAAATGGCAAAGCGATAAGATGAAAGGGTAAGATAAATGACAAAGCAACTATTAACCATAATGTTCCGAAAATAGGCAAGACGATCGATAAGTCTGTCAGACAACATCGTTTTGTTATGCCGTAGCTAGCCAGAAAACATTATCAATACTGCTTACAAGGATCCATATTGGGCAGGTCCCCCTGGCCCAGCATTCAATTCCTGAAAACTCGAGGATAGTTATCACAGCATTTTATTCAACAACGACTGGTTCCAAAATAGCACCAGTTTAACAGACGACTTAGTGCTTGTTCGCCCGATTTCCATAGTTCCTTTTCAAGAAACAGTCAGTTCGCGCGGAATTCCCGCTTCTGCAAACCAGGAAGCCCTGCAATCACTTCTCAGAGTGTTTCTTTTCGTTTCTTGCTGATTAGTTGGTGCCGCAGTGACCATTGCTTGACTTGATCATACTGGGACATGTTTCACAGTATGAACACACCAGATCGTATACTGAGACAACAATGAAAACATGATATCCTAATTTTTGGTGATAAGATATTCTTTGATGGATCAAATAAAGCTATTAATGCTTAATTTGCCTATGAAATAAGAAACGGTATGTTGAACATGATAATTTTTAGGAAAACTTAATCATTAGGCGCAGTTTCTGCTACCTCCGCAAAGCAAATGTCCGCAAATGTACACACGAGAGTTATGTGAATGTGTTTTCTACAAAACCCCGCAACAACCAACATCTGAAACAAAATGTGTTCGGCAGGTTTCAAGCGTCTGTAACGCTACCTGACTGGGAAGTCTTGACTGACGGGACAATTGATCGACACAACCAAGGTATGTTACTGGGTTGTCGTTCGAGGCGTTGAGTGTTCCGCTCACCCAACTCAAGGGCGAGCATATTCACCTGTCCAGATGTAAAAATTTGTATGAGTCCATCGTGTGCGGATGGAGTAGGGGTAACACGCTCGCCTCGCACTTCAGAAGTGCGGAGTCCAAACCCCGGCACGACCATCAAATATGCACTCTTGATGAGCTCTAATAGGAGCGAAACTCGAGTCCAGTGCTTCTCCCCTTGGTCTGAACTCATCAGAATGACTGTGCAGGGACAGAAGGACTATCGTCCAAACGACAGTCGTGTATGTATTCTACAAAATCCCGCAACCACCAACACCCGGAATGGGTTATGTGGTTGAATTTCTGGTAGAAAATTCCTGCTAAGGCAGAATGGACTCCATTAAATTGGCGCTACCTGAAATAGAGAATCTAGGTAATGACAGACAGGAACTATTCACAAGGCAAATCCGACAGACACTGGTCATCACCATGTTAATTAAAACCGAACTTATCTCACCGCTGGCAATCGTGTGTGATGCTACTGGCCTGACTGGATGTTGAGATCCGTAGAACTCACCTGCATTCAAGCAGCAAAATTACTCGATCCCATTTGCGAATATAGAGTTTACTCGGACTCACCATGTATAAAAAACTAGAGATAGCTTTCAGAGTTCCTAGAAGGGCACAATCGCCGAATGTCTGATGGCAAAGAATTGTTTGAACATTTGCTTTATGGAAATCAACCTCCTTTTTCAAGCCTATCAAAACCGCTTTGTTTGATTTTACCGAACAGATACTGGACTACTTCGAGCGAAACCACCTATTGCCTTGTCACAGTATCCCTGGGCAACCAAAGCTTCTCAAAGACCTGGTTGATCCAGCTTGGTGGCGTGCCTTTACCCAACCCGATATCTCCCAAGTGAGTGAGGAATTTTCAACAACGGTGCAAACTGCCCAAACATCCACAGACACCACTTCTTCCTCGAACAACAAAGGTCGTATGCAACTTCCCACTTTTCATACCAATGCATCTGAACATTCGAATGTAGCTGTTCGAACATGCTCTGTACCAACAAAACATGATCAATTGGTTGTACAGGAGTTTAAAACACTTCACATAGATCGAAGTTGGGATGGCAAGGTTCCGGCACGTACTAGTATGTCACGGGATCCCAATTCGACCTCTGATTATGGGCAATCCGAAGATCCGAGTGACCATTTCGGGGCCACACGTTCGGGTGTCAGTTCGCTCCAGGTTAGGCGCCAAATGTCACTTGGACCGTCGATGCACGGAGCCAGTCCAGTGGGTCGGAGGATACCAAATCCACCAAAGTCAGGTGGTTCCAATCAATATTAACCAAAAAACACAGTAGAAGATCAAACACATTTTGACCTACACCCCAAAACAATTCAGTTTGTCTATTAGACTTCAGAAAAATCAGGCCAAAGAGCAATTGACGTGTATGTCGCCAGCAAAAACTTCACTGTATGTTCAACTGATTTTGTGATTATAAGATCCAATAGTGACACACAAGCCAAGTGCATCTAAGAAGATTGGATCGAGCATATTATCAATAACAATCCAAGCACAGTGCGGCCGCTGCGTCGAAAACTATCTCCTGTGGTTCGGCTTGAGGGAACACGTGGCCTTTTATCTTTGGAAGCATTTCGTGTCAGATGAAAGATGCATTTAAAGAAAGTGGATAATCATTTCAGCTATACATGACTGTGTTGTTTTCTGAGTGGCTACATAAAGAAAACAGTTTTTGTCTCCATACTTTGCCCGCAACTACCACACAACATACAATCAGAGAACCCGAAGCGATCCGAGTTGTTCGACTTCACTTTGGCCGAACCCAAAGACAAGATTTATCCTCCGTAAGCAAAGCTTTTGTCTGTTTTGGACCTGCAAGAGTGCGGGCACTCAGATATGAGCTGATACTGGCCTTAATATGTTACAAGAGCCTTTGTATTGTACTTGAGATAATGAAATCTACAGTGTGTTTCTTGCCTATTTTTCTGAAGACGATCATTATGGTGCAGTAGTTTGACTGTGAGACTTGGCCTGTTCGAGCAGCGAACTGAGACGTCTTCAGGTATTC